TATTTACCCCACGAAATCAAAGCAGAGCCATCTGCAACACAAGTTTTGTGCTTCTCCGAAAGATATGGCAAGAAAAGCGAGACATATTTTCTTAATCCCACGTCGTATTCGAGGGGAAAATATTCAGATTTGTCTAAACGTACATCAGCTATAATGACGTACGTCGGTGCGAAATATTTTCGCGAAGATTTATTCCTAGTTGTACTTATACCACCGTGAAAAACTAGAACGAATCAATAACTTTCCCATCTGAATTATGCGAAGAGAATTCATCGAGTGTTATTGTCGTTTTTTCACGATCGAGCTGCACGAAGGTGGGTATTATGCTACGGAATTTTTCTTGAAAGCTTTTATTTTAAAGACAAAATACTGTACTTCGCCTCGCAGGACTTATAATAATCAGCAAACATTAAATAACATTCCGTTTGAATTTCAGTGCACCATCAATTTAAATCACTCGGGTCAGATGACAGGGCTCGTTTGTCGAAAATAATTTCTATGCACAAATGCTAACAAAAGATGAGTCCATATATGCATGTAACATAATTTCATGAACTGTGATATAAGAGCCGTTTGTGTCAGTCAGATGCCGTTAATTTTCCTAACGCACGATTCAAGTACTTCGGACGCATATTTTCAATCAAAAAAAGGCGTGATTAATCCATCCGTCTTCAATTTATCTCGATGAATTTCATCGATGGGCTGGAATAAAGATTGCACCCTTTTTTCACCTGGGCATTTTTAAAAACAAATGAAAAATTATGTTTTTCTCTGACATTTTCCTCACACGCATTCAAAGTTTGAGTGCGTCACTTGATGTTTGCTGCGTTGGTTCCTGTGTAATTTATTCACACCCAAACAGCTGCTATTCATAATCTGGAATCATCAATTAAACCACTTAATAAATCACTTCGAAAAAAATCACTCGAAATAAATCATTCGAAATAAATCACTTACGCACTTATACTTGTGACAGTTCGTATTATTATTTTTTGTTCTGCGAGAATGCAGAATCTGTCTTCTGTGAGAAAACAAATCCTCAAGCAGAAAATTCCAAAAACAGCAAATCTTGTTATAGTACAACAAATATGAATGCAACAATTTATTTCCTGCAAAATACCGGTATCCGTTTGTCACGTCCATGCCCAAAAGTCATGTTTAGAATTGCTTCACAACCTTCCGGAAGTTTTCTTCCGAGTCCCACGTACAGCTTCAATGTAAGAAAATGTTTTTGTACACTCCACAACCACAATAAATTGCTATTTTCTTCCAAGAATTTCTTTGCAAGGTCAAAATTTTGCTCAGCAATTGGGAACTTGATCATTTTCTCAGCTTCCAATTTTGAATGTTCAAAATCAATGCATCAAATGTCAGCCTGCTGCTCAAACCCCCATAGCGCGACATGATTATCATCGAGGGAATGAAATGCGTTGATCAATGTTAACAAAATTCACAGATTAGAACAACTATGATTGATGTAATTTCGCGAAGTGAGCAAAGCAAGAAAAATTCTTTGATCTTCAAGAGAGCTGATCAAGAACAACCGAGAAGAAGCCCCACTTCACACCAGGAAAAACCTCATCATTTGGAAGAACAAGGATCGCTGAACCTAAATCCTGAAACGAAAAGTCATCCACAGTGAAAAAAAAATGAAAGCAGGAACGCAATTTTAGTAGAAAAATTATCTCGTTTTTCGCTTCCAACTGATTTCCGTCTACAAGCCACGGCGCGACTCGGGAGAGAAACCCAAATTAAGACGCGGAAAATCCAAGATTCGAAACACGAATCGCGAAGATCACTTAGTTACAAGGTAAACAAAAAAAAACTGATTTCAGATAACAATCGTTCTTCGGGATCTCCAGGAATACCAATGCAAAAGGAACAACTTTCCGAATCAGCTTCGACGGAAATTCGTGACACTGTGAGCTGGTCTCTTAAATTTTCCTCCCTCTTCTTTGTTTGTTTTTGTTTTGTTTATCGCCCGTCAGTATCTACTCTGCGAATACTTTGAATTCCACCATCGATAACATCTCGTTACTTGTTTCGTTACCAAATCAACGAAAACAAAAAGCATTCGAAAAAAATCTCGGGTAACGCTTCCCGAGGAAAGAAAAAGAAAATTACAATCACTCGAAAGTATCCATGGTGAGCAAAGAAGTTCGGTTCCCGGCTCAGAAAAAGATGAGTCACGCCACCATCTTCCACGTGGATCCATGATCAACGAGCGAATGACATAATCCATAATATTTCTTACGGAATGAATGAAGTCGATACACGGAAAATTGAAACAGGGCTTCTATAACCCCCGGAAACTTAGAGTCTTAGCTTTTTGTCCCAGCTGAAGCCAAACATAAACTTTGAAGATAAAATACGCCGAAGAACTTCCAGCTGGCCACATTCGTGCATTCTTCAAGCTTGTCAAGAGTTTCATCTATTTTGGCTCAAAAATNCGTACCTTCGTTCCAGGAGTCATCGTCTGCGGAGTGACGGAATTAACGCAGCCTCTCGTTCGAAGATCCCAGAATCGAATTGTTCTGTCGTGTGATCCACTAACGAACATCGCACCTCCCCACGTATACAAAGCCAAAACGTGGCCTGGAAAAGAACATAAGACACGAATTGGCACACATTCCTTCACAAACGCAGATTTTGACATTCAACTACCGTCACCGAAAGAAAGCACAGGTACTTCGCCATTTTTCCCCGTGAACCGTAAAAAAACGGAGGACATCAAATTCAAACTTCGAATACAAAACCACCCCAGAACTTCCGAGATTCAGATTCAGGGGGAAAAAAACCTTTCAAGGACCAATCTCTTAATTTCATAGGATTATTAGAACAGCATTTCGAACAACAAGGCTTGTCAATGATGCCACTCAGTTCGGTCAGTACTTGCAGTTTAGCGGAAGCATCCACAGCGGCTACATTCTAAATCTATTCGGGACACATGATTCGAAGCACGGCAGTCCAAATATACGTCGAAGGCTCGAAATTTTCAAAATTACTCATTACGTCTGTTTCGCATGGCAACCAAAGGAGAAGCTGGTCAAGCTTAGGTATTGAACACTCGGATTAGAAACTAAAATCGCCGTACGTCGACATTTTTTTATGAAGTCCCTTGTCTGAATTCCGTCAGAAACAATACATTGAACACCTTCCCAACTCAAACGTTTTCTATCTTGAACATCCACAACTCGAATATTCCGGAGACCTTTCGGCTATCATTTTTGTCACCCAGGAAGGAGAAAAGCAATAAACCAATAATGATGTAACTTGATGTGCTTCCAAAGTGGAACATTAACCGGGAAAATGAACCCTTTCCTCCTAGTTTAGCATTCTGTCTACTCATAAAAATATTAATCTGAAGCGAAGTCTTTCTTTCTATGGTTCCTTGCGACTACAAGCAAACATAGAAAAAGCCTGCGTAGTCAACTATTAATCGCACTTTTTTCGCGAGCTCAGTGACTCACAAACTAAACATTGCATACCAATGCAAAATTTCCTACTCGGAGAAGTTTACAGACGCCATCCAAATTCGCAGTTTCATTGTTCGTTCATCTTCCTGCTTATTCTGCTGCACTCATATTGAAAAGTCACTCCATCATGACGAGAAGCATTCCCAGTCCCATTTAGGAAACCGAAGCACTTCAGAAAAGTGGCTCAACAAGCACAAAAAACAACACATGATCGGGAGATGAAAGTTATGGCACTGCTTCGGGTGCCGGACATGAAGACGGTGCCCGGAGGGAGGATATATCTCGTAGATTGCCCACAGCCGCCTTGGAGAAAGTACCCAGTACCGTAACGGGTCTCGGGGGATTCCCAGAAGAAAGGACAATAAAAAAGGAAGAAAAAAAACCAAAAGCATACGCCATAAAAAAAAGAAGGACGTACCAGAATGACCGCTGAGTGCCTGGAACGGCGTGCCAGTGGCGCAATCTGTCACGTAGATTTTGCAGTCCCCGGCACCGCCGCTCACCAGAAGCGAGCTCTTGTTGCTCATGTCCTCGATGAAGCACAGGTCCCGCACCGTCCCGTCATGCATCGTCAGCTCTACCTCTTGACCTGCAAAAAACAGAGAAAAAAAAATCAACTCACTGAATTAGCACGCCACGTGCGTATCAATGATCCTTCAGCTGCCCCATTACCCGGTTCAAATTACATTCAACGTTTTTAGAGGAGCTGTACGGTTGAGTACCCTTCCCGTCAATCATTGCAAACCATTCGAAAATAATATTGGTATTTCTCGGTTTTCTTTTATGTGCACAGCTACTTTTTTACTGTTGGACAATAAGAAGCATGGTGAACAGTCATTTTGAAAGAAAAGATAATATCATGATAAAACTGAAGAATTCTAGCTTCTTTGTTTCAGAAAAATATTTAAAATTAAAGTTTTAATCAGAACCAGAGCCACGTGCGCCAGGAGAAAAGTTAACGGTATCCATGGAAAGCAGGGAAATATTTTATTTTATGGCTGGAATGGAAAGGCAGATGTGTCTTGAATGAA